TATGAAGACATTTTAGGAGTATATTAAATAATCAAACTTGTATTTTTACATACATAATAAAAATGTATCTAAAAGTTCTTTCAAAGTTAAAAAATTCTGTTTATGAAGAAACATTGTGTAATGTTTTAATTGGAAGTTATTTTTCTTTCTTAAGGGTAAATAAAATTTGTGCATGTTACCATTAATGGCCTCTCAGATTTGATGAAATATGGTTATTATATTTTTCATCTGTATCATGTGGTGAAAATGTTGGGAAGCACTGGAATAGATAATAAATGTCGTAAGAGTTTTGAGGGGCCGGCTCCGGGGCCGAGTGGTTAAGTTCGCGTGCTCCGCTGCGGCGGCCCAGGGTTCGGATCCTGGGCGCGGACATGGCACCGCTTGTCAGGCCATGTTGAGGCGGCATCCCACATCCCACAACTAGAAGGACCTGCAACTAAGATATACAACTGTGTACGGAGGGGGGCGGGGGCGGGGGGGGGGGTTGGGGAGATAAAGTAGAAAAAAAAAAGATTGGCAACAGTTGTTAGCCCAGGTGCCAATCTTTAAAAAAAAAAAAAAAGAGTTTTGAAAAAGAATTTTAGGATTGATCCAGAATGAAAAGACTATGAAGTAATAACCAATAACTACTTGAAAAGTGTTCAAGTTCATTAGTGATCAATAAAAATAAAATGAGATATCTTGACCTTCCAATAAGGTCTAGGATTTCTCTCTCGTAGGCTCCACTCTTGTGCTCCTCACTGTTACCTCTTTTTATTTATCCCCTCATTCTCATCCTCTCTCTTTCTTCCTCTTTCCTTCCCTCCTCCTCCAAACCTCCTCATATTCTTCTCTCACAAGAGAGGTTTACCAATGACCTCTTCTGGCTTGACCTCCTGCGGACTCTGATGCCCTTGAAGTCTCAGTCTCCAGTCTAAGTGGCTCATCAACGCTTTGACATTTTTCTGAATAGGCAGTTCATTCCTAAGAGGAATTCTGGCATCTGCTGTTGCAACAATGTTTTTTTTACCTTGTTAAAACTGCATTTAGAAAGTTTATAGAAGATATACTACACTAAAGACTCCCAATTCTCAAACTTCTACTCATGTCAGGACATATTTATTTTAAAGTCACTGTCCTGTATATAAGAAATGCTTAAACTGTTGACCCGTAATTACCCCCGGAGTAATTTACAGCTTATTTACTTCTTTTTAGCCTCCTCCAACCCCCGGCTTATTTTCTGAGTACCAGACCCTAGCTTGTCGGCATCAGTGCTGCTCTTGTTGCTTTCTTGCTTTGAAAAGAATTCTAGATCTGGCTGCAGGAAACCTAGTTTGAAGTCCCATTCGGCCACTTGTGCAACCTTGGTAAACAACTTAAACCCTCCAAGCCACAGTTGCGAGCCGCAGTTCTGTTGTTTGAAATGTGGTGACATCTCTATCTTACCTGCCTACTTTACACTGTGGTCAGGATCAAATAAATATATGAGGGATGTCAAAGTTTCTATTAAGTGTAAAGCCTGAATCAAGTGTCAATAGATGTTATTGTTTCATTGCTAAAATAACACCTCACTTAGCTAACATAATGAAACAGTTCAGCAACAAGCTAAAGTTGCATTAATGTATACATTAAAAGTTTTTTGGAGGTAAAACTACACATTTTTATTTGGTTATTAGAATTTTGGGCAGGTGTATCAATTAGCTGGCTACTCCTTTTAATTTGATTATTAAAATTTGGGGCAGGTATAGCAATTAGCTGTTGCTGTGTGAACCCTCCTCCACCCCCAAATTTCCAATGTCATCCTACAAGCGAACATTTATTTAGCTTGCATGTCTGGGGGTTAGCAGTGGGTTAGTCCAGCTAGGCTGGGCTCAGCTGAGCAGGTTCTGCTATGCGCCATGTGTCTCTTACTCTCTTCCTGGGACCAGCAGGCTAGCCCATGTACGTTCTTCCCAAGGCTATGATAGAAGTGCAAGACAGCAAGCAGAAACACAAGCTTGTTAAGGCCCGGACTTCAAACTGACATACCATTATTTTTGCCCCATTTTATTACTCAAAATAAGTCACAAGGATGAACTCAATGTCAAGGAGTGGGGAAATACACAGTTGATTCCATTATTTATGGTAGTTATGGAATATAAAGTCACCATGAACACTGAATTGGTAAATACTGAACCCCTGCTCCTAGAGGAAACACAGGTTCGTTTCCTGTGAGCTTCTGGTCACTTTTTCATCAACAGATCAATACATAACCCAATACAAACCCAATACATGTGTGTTTTTATTTGAAGACACCTCACTAATATATATTGTTGATTTATTAACACTGAACTCAGGGCCAACAGCACCATAACTCATGTCCAAAGGAACTTATCTAACACACATATTTTCTCTATGAGGCACATCATAGCCTTTTTTCACTTAGGAACACGAGACAGCACATGAGTACAACGCTTGGGGCCATTCTATACAGTGAAATCACCAACAAAAAGCACAAAAATGCAAAAAATGTGGCACGAAATAGACTGCAAAAATGACACCTGTTTCCAGTATAAGACCTGAAACAAGACAGCAGAGCATTGCCTTGTTCAACCTCAGCTGGGAACTCAAATTTTTGCCACTCGGTGCACATCTGCAAATGCCTGTGAAAGCACCAGAAGAGTATTGATTTGGGGGATACAAATAAATTTTAGCAAGTAGGTGTACTTGAAATGTAGTATCCATGAATAATGAGGATCAAGCCTACTTTGCCCCTTAGTGGAAAAAACTTCAATGTTATATGGAAAAGGATATGGATAAAGGGAGAGTTAACACATTGAGGGCAATAATGCAGACTCTTGGGCCCCATCTCAGACTTCTTGAATCAAAATCTGCATTTCAAATTCCCCAGGTATTTGCGTGCATATTCAAGTTTGAGAAGTATTGCCCTCAATACCATGGTAGGTACACCCACGCCAGAGGGTGGAAGTTAAACCCTACAAACATTAGAGTCTTACCACATCACTAACGTTTTTATGGGTCCAAAAGTCTGAAGCATGCTGGGACAACCTCTCTAAGGTGAAGGATAAGTTATTGCATCTTGTAATTCCTATTAATAGAGAAGAGACAGAGCATTTGGTGGGCCTCTTTGGCTTTTGGGGGTAACATATGCCACATCCGGGCATACAGCTCCAATGCATTTATTGGGTGACGTGATGGCTGCCACTTTGAATGGGTCCCTGATCAGGAGAGTGCTCTGCAGCAAGTGCATGCTGGAATGTAAGCTGCATTGTTATTTGGTCCTATGTCTTAGTAGATCCAACCGCGCTAGAGAGATCCATGGTGGATAAGGATGCGGTATGGAGTCCTAGGCAAGCCCTAACAAGAGAGTCAAAGTGCAGAATCTCAGGGTTCTGGAGCAAGGCCGTTCTTTTGACAGCAAGTGATTTAAAAAGCAGCCTTTGGCATGCCACTGAGAGCCTGGCCACACAACTCAAGTGATTATGCAACTATAGCTGCCCATAAGGAGCTGGAGATTTCAGATTTACCAAGTCACAGTTAGGTGGGTATCGCGGCAATCTATCAGTTAGAAAAGGAGAAATAGTAGTCATGGGATTGGAAATAACCTTGAAGGGTGAAGAACAGTGACTAGAAGAACATGAACGTGAGAGTTGGAAGTTCCCCAAGAAAGGCAAGCTCAGTATAATAAAGTTATCTTTTTCTTGCTCTCTAATCACTCCTCTCCCTGAATTCCTTCTCTTGGGTGCAGAGTAGTAATACGCACTCTCCTCCAGGTCCAATCTCTGGAGTCATCACTGACAGTTCCTGCTTCATCAGAGGGATACCCCCTTAAAACAGTATCTCTTTAGTCTGTGTCTGCGTCTCCACCTCCATGGCTGCTGTCTTAAGTCCCTCATCATTTCCCTGTTGCAAACTTTCCACATAATTGACAAACCGGGTTTCTGCCTATCTGATTATCCCATTCATTCCTCAAATATTTTTTGAGCATCTACTATCTATAAGGCACCGGGTTGGGCCTTGGGGAAACATTGTGAGGAATTAAAGACATTGCTGCAGGCCTCATGGAATTTACAGTCTCGTGGAGGAGAAAGACGAAAATCCTGCTTAAGATCCTTCAGTGGTTCCCTGCTGTTTTCAGGATGAAGCCCAGATGTCTCGACCTCCCTGTCCCTGCTTCTCTCTCCAGCATCACCTCTAACCACTGCCCCTTAATCTTGCAGGCTCTGCAGCCACAATACACAATTTCTCTTATTCTGAGCACCCTCCTTTCTGCCTAGCTAATGTTTACTGTCTCTCAAGGGTTCAGTCCATCTGTCCACCTTCTTCAGGAAGCCTTCTAGACACTCCCTTCCCTCTTGAGCTGCATTTCTCTGTAGTTTCATCACATTTCATGCTACCACTATCACATACGTATCACACTTTATTGGAATTTTTCGTTCTGTACACATCTACTCTATTGGTGAGCACAGCTTTGTGTAACCAACACTTAACGCAGTCTGATTTATAACAGGTACTTGTTTTCATTAAAGGGAACTGAGTAGATATGTAGAAATGCTCCCTACTCTTCAAGAGCAGACAAGGCCAACACATCACTTGTGACCCCTGATAAAGGATCATCTGGGGGGCACAACTCCCAGGCATTCTCTGGCCTTGGGGCCTCCTTCCTTCCTGGGCCCTCCCTCGCAGAATAAGACTCAGTCAACGCGCCCCCTAGCGCCTCCTGCTGACACTGCAGGAGTGGAAGGGCGCGGCGAACACGCGGTCCCAGACCCTGGAGCGGCGCATGCGTAGCACGCGAGCGCTCGGCTCGGATAGGAAGAGTCCAAGTGTGAGGGGAGCGGGCTGTGGATTCAGATTCTTTTTCGTTCTGCAATAGGAAGGGACTCCTATCCTTTTCCTCTTCGATCATATCTTAATTTAAAATGTAATGCTTGACGTGTGGCTCTGCAGGAAGCGAGAAAGGGGCTAGAGTGTTGTCAAACTCTTCTTCGTCCTTCAGCACCCCTCCCGGGGGCCGTGGGTTGGACGGTCCCAGGTCAGGGCGCGCGGGGGCGGAAGCGGCGGAGCCGGCGCCAGCGGCTGCTGTCAGAGCTGGAGAGGGGCCGGGCGGAGCGGCCATGGAGGGTCAGCGCTGGCTCCCGTTGGAGGCCAATCCCGAGGTGAGCGCAGCTCGGATCTCGGTCTGAGGACTCGGGCAGGGACGGAGGGAACCGGGCTGCCACAGCTAGTCCAGGGTAGTTTGTCTCTAAATCGTGTTCTCTGTTTCGTTTTCAGGTCACCAACCAGGTGAGTGAGGTGTCTGTCACTCGGGACCCCGGAGTCCTCCCTGCCCGCCTACACCTTCACGCTCCCTAGGAGTCTGGGATTTAATTCCGTGAGGGCCCTTCCTGCCCTGCTTCAGGCGGGGATGCCTCTTTTATGGCTGTCTCCCTGCCCACCTGGCTCCTGGAGATGCTTCCAGCTGCCTCAGCCCCTCTGTTTCCATTCCCTCGTCATCCTGTTTCTTGGGGTCTCTGAGGATTGAAGGCCGTTCACCCTATATTCCTATTCCTCTTCCCTCTTCGTTTTGCCTCCTGTAGTGCCGATTCCATAATTTTCCCACCCCTGTACCTTCAGGGTGACTAATTTGCCTACACTATCTGACTCCAAGCTTTGTAAACTCGCCCACCCAGTCCTTGTAATTCCACCCACCGCCTGCACTATGAAATCATCTTCCAATCATCTTCTCTTGCCCCATCCAGTCACTTCTCTTCCCCGCCACACCCCCTTTCTCTTCCAGTCTCTTTAAACTGGAATTTAGTTGCTTTTCTGCCATAGAATTCTCAATATGATCATTTCCACGCTATTCTTTGCAACCTACAACCCTTAAAGTTCGTCCGAGTATCCGAGGTTTGAGTTTGGGGAGGGATGAGGGAACATCTCCCGGCCACTCGATTGAAAGAACAGTAAGTGCTACCAGGTATAAACTTTTGATTTCCTTAGGTGTATTTTGTCTTACTCTGTTTTTCATTCTTAACAGCTCGTTGACTTTTTACTGCCCTGCTAGTTTATCGTATGATACACTTTTCCCCTCATAATCTTCCTTCTCATCACCAAGGAATAATGATTCATCATATACTTAATTGATTTTTGGCTTTCAAAGCTTCTAGAAAATTCCTTATACAAAGAAAGTAGATAGAAATGCTTTATCTTAATATTGGCAGCAAACCCTTTATCTTCTCATTGAGGCTGATAAGCTTTGAAATGACTTCTTGCCCCACCTGTTGTCTCTTTAGTAATCTAGAAATGTGCAAAGCTTAAAGCCCAGCGTATATCTTTTATATTATTCCTGAGGCGGTGTTTCCTATAGATGTCAATTTTCTTTTGTTTCCCTTGCTTTGAAATTTGCTGGGGTTTTTTTGTCTTAAAGCATTTTGACCACTTTGCAAAAAGAAAAATCTTCAGGCCGAAGAAGTTAGTGTTTGCAAGTTCTAATTTAATGCCATAGGAAAGAAGCATATTTCTCTCAGACTTAATTTAAAACTATTTTTACATCTTTTGTGAAAAAAATGAATTTACCATTTATCTCAACTCTGTTCTTTTCCATTGAACTCTGTTCTTTCACCAGTACCACACTGTTTTGATTACTGTAGTTTTTTTTTTTTTTTTTGAGGAAGATTAGCCCTGAGCTAACATCTGCTGCCAATCCTCCTCTTTTTGCTGAGGAAGACTGGCCCTCAGCTAACATCCGTGCCCATCTTCCTCTGCTTTATGTGTGGGACGCCTGCCACAGCATGGCTTGCCAAGTTGTGCCACGTCCGCACCCGGGATACAAACCATTGAACCCCGGGCCACTGAAGCAGAACATGCACACTTAACCGCTGTGCCACTGGGCCAGCCCCTGATTACTGTAGTTTTATAGTGAGTCTTGAAATCAAGTAGCATGAATCCTCCAACTTTGTTTTTTGGGTGTTTTTTTTAAGATTGTCCCTGAGCTAACATCTGTTGCCAATTTTCCTCTTTTTTTTTTTTCTCTTCCCAAAACCCCAGTACATAGTTGTATATCCTAGTTGTAAGTCCTTCTAGTTCTTCTATGTGGGATGCCACCACTGCGTGGCTAGATGAGCAGTGTGTAAGTCGGTGCCCAGGATCCAAACCAGTGAACCCTGGGCAACGGAAGCGGAGCACTTGAACTTAACCACTGCACCACCGGGCCAGCCACCCAACTTTTGTTCTTTTTTTGGAGTTGTTTAGGCTATTTTAATTACTTTGCCTTTCCATATAAATTTTAGAATCAGCTTGTCAGTTTCTACAATTTGTGATTTTGATGGTGAATGTTTGTGGAAATCTATAGATATATTTTGGGGAAAATTAACATCTTAGTATTGAGTCTTGCAATCCATTAAGATGGTGCATCTCATCATTTACTTGGGTCTTCTTTGATTTCTTTTAACAGTGTTATGTAGTTTCAGCAGGTAGATCTTGCACATATTTTGTTAGATTTATAACAAAGTATTTAATGATTTTTGGTGCCATTGTAAATGATACTGTTTTTAAATTTCAGTTTCTAATTGTCCATTGCTGTGTATAGAAATACAATTGATTTTTATATGTTGACTTTGTATCCTGCTGCCTTGCTAAATTCACTTATTCTAGTGGCTTTTTTTTTTGTAGTTGCCTTGGGATTTTCTAAATAGACAGTCATATTCCCTGTAAATAGACTGTTTTATTTCTTCTTCTTCAATCTGTATGCCTTTTATTTCTTTTTCTTATTGCACCAGTTGAGACCTTCAATACAAAGTTGAATATGAATAGAAATTTAATTAACTGACTTAGAATTTGGAGAATTAATAAATTAAGCCACAGATAAACCCCAACAACAATATCTATACTACCCTTTCTTATTTCATCAACTTAAAAGAATCATAGGCCTTTTACTTATCTTAATTTCACTGTTACCATTGGGTAGTTGCGTGTGTTATTATTGTACTCTTAGTTTGAGCAAATACTGTTTTATGTTCTAATATTTCCTAGTTTCTATAAGAATGATCAACACATGTCTGCTATATGCAGATCATTATTAACCGTGAGACCTTAACTAGTATCCATGTATCTCAGTAAATGTGGTTGAATATGATGGGGACAGAGGACATCCTTGTTTTGTTCTGGCCTTTAGGGGGAAAACATTTCATCTTTCATTAGATATGTTAGTTGTAGGGTTTTGGTAGACGCTTTTTATCAGATAAGGAAGTTCCTTTCTTTTCCTAGTTGCTGAGGGTTTTTATCATGAATCAGTGTTGAATTTTCTCAAATGACTTTTCTGCATCTCTTAAGATAATCATTTAAGGAAGAAAAACTACCAGTTTTACATAAACATAGAAGAAGGGGACACTTCTCAACTCTTTTTATGGCCAGCGTTACCAGACAAGCCATGATAAGAAAAACTGCCCTCCGCTATCCCTCAGGAACATGGATGTAAAAATCCTTAACAAAATATTAGGAAATAGAGTGCAGCAGTATGTAAAAAGGATAATGTGTCATGACCAAGAGCTGTTTATCCTGGTATTACAAAGCTGGTTCACTATTTCAAAAGTCAATCTGTAAATAACCATATCAACAGACTAAAGACAAAACTATTTAGATAGTATTTTTATTTATTTTAGTAAGATGTAAGCTAATATAACTGAAAGCTTATGTTCTGTGATTCAGCTGGTATTTGACTTTATTCCTAAGTAATCTTGATAAACTATAAAACACATTTACTCGTTAACATTAATTAAATAATATTTGGTGGACACCTTTTATAATACCAGGTATCTGAGCAGAAGCTGCTTATACTTTGGTGATTAAAATATTCATGGTTTTCTGCTTTTCAATCCAGTGGGAAGACCAACAATAAAGTTAGCAAAAAAATAAATTAGCAATTATTATAAGTGCAGTGAAAAAAATTAGCAGGGTACTGTGATGAACACCGTCTGGGAAAACATAATAGGTTGGATGGTGACAGGAGGTCACTTTGAGGTGATGTAAACAGAGAAAAGATGTTATTAGTATATAATTGTACGCTATTTCTGACATGCTTTGGCATGATTCAGTTTGTTTTAGATTTATTTATTAAAGAAGTAATGTACTTTTGGTGGGAAAATGGGCAAGAATGTAAGAAGTGATTAGTTTTAACCAAAATTTTTGTGGTTGTTTCTTTATTCTCTCTGTGTTAGTAGCAGAACCAAGAATAGAAAATGAATAGAAATTTAATTAACTGACTTAGAATTTGGAGAATTAATAAATTAAGCCACAGATAAACCCCAACAACAATATCTATACTACCCTTTCTTATTTCATCAACTTAAAAGAATCATAGGCCTTTTACTTATCTTAATTTCACTGTTACCATTGGGTAGTTGCGTGTGTTATTATTGTACTCTTAGTTTGAGCAAATACTGTTTTATGTTCTAATGTTTCCTAGTTTCTATAAGAATGATCAACACATGTCTGCTATATGCAGATCATTATTAACCGTGAGACCTTAACTAGTATCCATGTATCTCAGTAAATGTGGTCAGCGTGATTTCTTTTGTTGGTGAATATGCTGTCAGTCCCTTCAAAGAATATTTTGTCATGCTACAGATAGAACTTAGAATAAAATCAGTTAAGTGATAGAAAAAATTTATTGAAAAATTTGAACTCTTATTTATATGTGCATTTAAAGAAGTAATAGCAGCTTGTAGCTGATGGAAAGTTACAGATAATTAAGCATCAGGAAGGATAACCTTTTTAAAAAGTACAGTTTGTGATATGGACAATCATGGCATATCTTTTTATGACCATACTAGATTTTCATCTTGATTATGTTTTGTGACTTGAGTACAGTACAGCCACATTATGTGTATTTTAAATATTATTGTGTATTAGAACCAGTCATTTTTGATATGGAACCCCCCTAGAAATATTCCCAATTGTAATTTTATTGAAGAGGCAACATATTTTCTGGCGTGATGTATAATGTCCAAAGGAAAATAAATTTACTTTAAGATAACTATTTTATTTAGCTTTGATGCTTAGAGTTAGAAAAGAGTTAGGGATCATATGCTGGGTTATTGCCATAAACATACAAAAATTCGCTAGTTAGTAGATCCTATCTTAGAAAAAACGCCTTGTTACCTTGTCCCCCTGTAGCTACTGCCTCATCTCTGTTTCCCTCTTTATAAATATTCCTCAAAGAATTATTCATAGGAGCTGTTGCTACTTTCTCTGATTTCTCTGATTTTTTTCTGTGTTCACTCCTGTCTAGCTGCTTCTATCCTCAC